CCGCTGCTGCTGTTCGCACTGTGGCGAGGCTGAGCATGTTACATCCAATTATGAAGTAAAGCATGATGCCACTAATAGCAGCTATATAATACAGTTCAGTCCTCAAAGACCCTGTTTTAACCTATGAAATTGGAAAATTGTTTTATTCACAATTTGCTTTTTGTTTGTTTTTTTTCAAGGTGCTTTTTTATTTCTTAAAATTATATTAATTGGGCCAAGAAGTACAGCCTGGGTACATGGAATTATTCTTAAACCACATAACGTTCCCCCATCGAAGCCAGTGTTTCCTAACAGCTTTGTGTGTGTTCAAGTGCCCTCACGTAACAGCCTGCATTCGGAAATGATCTGGTGCTGGGGTGTAGGGCTGCCTTTGAGGGTTGTCGGCGCCTTCCTATAGCTGGAAGGACTCACAGTCAACATGGGGCTGGCCCCTGGCCTCTTCTAGCAAGGAAGCCTCTGCTTTGGCCTCCAGAGGTCAGCATAGAATCCAAGGTAAAAGTGATTTCTAACCCATATTTACCGAAGAATTATTTATCCCACATATTACCTCAGGGACTTTATAAAGAGCTCATTTGAGTCTCTGTATATTAGTGCATTGTGAGTGAGTAGGTCAGCTGACTCACACTGAGTAATCAACTTTCCCTTATCCCCAATCCCAGAGGAAGAATTTAGCTAGCTTGGCCCCCTCTTCCCTCTGTAAAATATTTCAGTGAGCTCCTTCTATCACTAGGGCAGCTGGCAACAGAGGTATTTACAGTCGGTAGTCCCGGTTATAGTGGGTTTGGTTTGGGAAGTTTAGGAAGCCACTTTTGGGGCATTTTAAAAAATTAGATTAAATCGAGAGATGTTGACAGATGTGTGTTTAGGAGTAACACTGTCATTACTTTGGTGGCAACAAAAATTCATGAGGATCTTTCTAAATGGACAACTAACCATCTGTAAAAAGGGCAAACGCCATCAAGGGAAACAGAATGAGTGACTTCAGCGATTGTACCACCATCAGTTCTTAGGAAAATGGATTCGAAAGTAGAGACTGCGTTGGCTTTATGTTTCCCAGAGGAAAAGGAAAAGTAGGATCACTGCTGCTGTCCTTAATAGTGAGGGCATGTCACAGTTTGGGAATATGATTTAGAAGAAACATGCACTTTAGAAAGATTCAAGTTAACGTGCCCCAGACCTACGAATGCAGGAAAGTGTCATGCTGGAGCCATTTATTTAGATCCAGGGGAGGGCGGGGTGCGATGTTTGTCTGATCTGAAACAATAAAGGAATGGGTTCCATGTATAATTAAAAGAAATATTTATTTCTGATCCTTATAAATCCAAAAAAAAATTCACAATTGGCTCCAAAACACCAGCTTCCAAAATAGCAATTTTGTCTTTATAGATAGCAATGTATTATTTGCTAGAATAAATATAAATACGATTCTGAAAATTATTCTAGCTGAATGAGGAAAAGTGTACTTTAGATTTGAGAACTCTGACTGGACTTTTAAGTCTATCATGGGAAGGCTCTCAGAACTCCACCTGAATAGTACCGAAGCTTTTGCTGCTCCTGTTGTTGGAATCTGTTTTCCTCCTCGGAGAAAACAATGCTTGAATTACTTATCATTAATACTGAAACCCCTAGGAAGCAGCTGGAGAGCCTCTGAAATGTCTTAGGCCCCACCAGTCTGTCCCTTGCGCCCAGGTCTCCAAATGATCTGAAACGCTTGCCGGCCTGATTCCTGGGGCACTGGCAGGGGGCAGAGAGATCCAGGAGCAGAAACTTCGACGCCAAATGGCTGGTCTGGTGAAGATGAGCAAGCCCCCAGCTCTCCCTGTGCCAAAGTACCTCGGAGTCCACAAAGTCATAAAAGCATCCTGGCTATTTATGAAAAAACACCCTACCCCTCACCAAAAAAAAAAAAATCCCAACTTGATACATAGTATTGTCTTGTCACTGCCACTGAGGACCACTTTGAGTTGCTTTTTTGTGCTTTATTTTTCCAGAACAATATACTTAGGTAAGAAGTCTTCCTTCTACTCAACTTTAAAACTGATTGGTGAAAATTCCTAATTGGAGTCTCCTTACCCTTTTTTCCTCTATTATTCTTTTTCAGTTGAAAAAGGAAAACCAGGATATATATGAAGAAAACCTTCATTACCCACTTCTGCTTATTTTAACCAAAGATGAATAGAAGATTAAGCTGCTCGAAAGACAAAGAAAACATCCAGTGCACAGGCAGGATTTTCACAAAAACAGAAATCTGTAACGGGTATAATATGCAGTAAGCCGTTGGCTCCCTGAGATTTTCACGCTCCCAGGACATGGGCCCCAACTGCCTTTGCAACATTCCATGTGTGGGTTCCGGGGTCCACCTGTCCTCACCCACGTTGACTCCCCAGCCGTCCTGCTTGTTGCTCTTCCTGCACCAAACTTTTTTTCCTTTTTTTTGGGGCGGTACACGGGCCTCTCACTGTTGTGGCCTCTCCCGTTGTGGAGCACAGGCTCCAGACGCGCAGGCTCAGCGGCCATGGCTCACGGGCCCAGCCGGTCCACGGCATGTGGGATCTTCCCGGACCGGGGCACGAACCCGTGTCCCCTACGTTGGCAGGCGGACTCTCAACCACTGCGCCACCAGGGAAGCCCTGCACCAAACTTTTGTCTTTAACTAGGTATAAGCGGCCTATGTCAGATTTGAATTGGGCTTGAGAGCCACCCAAGTATTTTTCCCTCTCATTGAGACAGAATTTCTTTTGGTGATTCCCACCCCACCCCCCACCCCCCCTTTAGAAAATATCTTGGTCTTTGTTCTATTTTAGTGGTGGTCATTTTTCATCTGCCAACCCAGCAAACATGATGATTCTTTCCTGGTTAAAAAAAGAAAGCAAGCAAGCAAATCTTTCAGATCACCCTCAAATTAATTGTATTAAATCTGCCATCTCTGTTTTGCTGTCTCTCTCTCTCACCCATCCTCCTTTTTTCTTTTAAACAGGATGTTTTTTTTCCCTATAGATGTATAAGAAATGACTACATCAGCCCAAAGCCTCATAAACTGACCGTTTGTCCTCTGGACACAATAGCATGGCCAGCCCTCTGCTCCTCCTCTCCAATTATGTGTGATTAGTCTCAATGCGTTGTGTCAAGGAGGAGGAGTGTGCTGAGTGCTTATTATCTGTTTAGGTACAAGAAGAGCACATTTAGGCTCTGACTATGGATGAAAAGTGAGCCTTTATCAGGGCTCAAATCTACTGCTGTTCTCCAGGCCTCTTTCAAAAGAGGTCCTTTCCAGGGAAATTTTGAATAAATGGTTGATAAAACGAGATGGCAACCAGGGCGAGTTTTTAAAAACTCAATCACACAATTATCTGATTGAAAGTAAGTATATATAGTCCTATGCAGCAATGCAAGTGTATGGTAAACATTTAATATGTGCTACCTAGGATTAAGAGAGAATGACCCAAGCCTCTCCTTGCCTGGTTCATCCCGGAGATGCTCTAATGCCTTTTGTGGAAATTCAGATGTTTATCTGTAAGGAATCATCTGTGTCCACTTTCACAGTAATGTCATTAGTAGGTTAGCTATATATCCTCCTATCTTTAGTAGAGGCAAAGCGTGTATTTAGCGTGATACAATTAAAGTGATAGGTGGGAGACTGGGGGCGAATCCTTTTGCATATTAAGCAAACTTAGCTGTCATAAAAACAGCGACTCTCAGATGTCTTCTCTGCTCACTTCTACCATCAAACAAATTTTTCACCATCAGTTTGCATGTTCTTGTATTCACCACTTTTTCTGCTCCATTAGGGCACCTAGATGGATCTCTGAAGGCATAGGTCAAGTCGCAGTTAGATCATACATTTCTTTCTCACAAAAACTTGAATTGCAATGCCAAGTGATGGGCTAACATCACAATAACAGCAATTTATTCCTCTTTGGATAAAACAGCAGTCTATTCTCAGTGCTAGATAAAGACCAGGGCAATGCAAACCAGCCATTTAGCTGAGTAGTTCAGCTAGTGGCAGCTCTCCTTTGGCGACTGTATAGGTTGCACACTGGCTTCCTATTTTCTTGTTTAAAAAATCAGAATTCGGAATGTTTTAAAAGGCAACACAGGTAGTTCCATTTATACTGGTGAAAATGCAGAGAAATGATTTCTTCCTGCAACTAAATCTGCCAGACAAAGAAAACCCATCCCTGCAGTAGCATCTAAGATCGCCTGTTCTTATTTTTTCTTGTAAAATATAGAGCATCAGAACCATGAGAATAGTTCCATTTTTTTCTCATGAAAATACATGAATTGGCGAGAATTCCGTTTACATTTGTGTGTTGTGGGTGTAGAAATCCAGTGTTTATTTTGCTGGAAGAAATTGTATTTTAAAAAGTAAATTAGTAGTGTGTTTTTTCTTAATATCTGAGAATAGTGTGTACAGTTACCTAAGCTGGAGACAGGGTATAAGAATTGAGCTGTGCTACCAAAAGACATTGAGTAAAGAAATATGTTCATTGTGACTAAAACCTAGAGAATCTTTTGTAAAATGTTAAGGGTTTCATAGATTTGCTCTTTATGGGACCCTTACCTGGAGATGTCACTAGTCCAGGCTCTTTGGAAGTTTGTAAGAAACTAATGTTGTATATTATTGAATAGTTTAAAAGTGTTTTTATTTTCTCAAATTTTGGCGAAGTGCCAATATTGAGAGGGGAAAAAATTATAGCTGCTTTAGAAAGTTTATCCACTTACATTTCTTTTGAACTTTATGGTTAAGAATTGTTTCTCTGCATCGGTATTGGGTTGCATAATTGCAATTGAAATGCCCCATTTCATAATTGTCTGTGTAATTGTGCCTGTGTTTGTTTCAAAACAAAGCCTGTCTGAAATCATAAGAATTATTACTGTATTCCTGTTTCCTGTGTACCTGTATCTTCTGAGAAGACTCACAAATCTCTTTTGTCATACTAAATAGATTTGGTTGGGTGTGAGAATGTTTCTAATATCGCCCATGGTCAGTTCTAATGCAGTGATACGAACAGCCGCATACAAGTTGGTTATAAGAAATATATTTTATTTTATAGCAAGACATATGCTGTGAATTGGGATAAAAGTGCTAGAAAAGACTACCTAAGAGGTTGATGCTATTTTGTGTAAATTGTGTATTTTGTTGGCTTTTTGACTGAGCACGAAAATGTAACTTCCATTAGGGTAGGGTAATTTAGGTGCTCTGTATTCAGCAGAAAACTTGTCGGGCCATAAAAGCTTTTCTGGCTGGTTCCTCCGGTGTTTTCAGAGAAGAGCTGCCCGCCCCTTGCTGTTTTTCCCTTTGGCTTCAGTATGGGCTGAATTTACCACTGCATACCTGTTGAATCAATTTGGGGGATCTAGCAGTTAACTGAGTGAATGGAAGGATTAGTGGCCTTTTGGAGCCCTATTTCAACAGCCAGGTGTCTTTCCTAAACTAGTTAACTGCTTTTGACAGTTGAAGAACCTGGTTTTAATACCACAGGCAGGAGATTGTTGACGTAGCGGGGTTTTTGTGTTTTTTTTTTCTCTCTACTATCAAAGTGGGGCATACCTTCTTCTCCTAAGGGTTAGGCTTCTTCTTTTTTAATAGGAATGGACTGTCCCCTTCCCTCAACACAGCTTCCATGGGGCTTTTGTGCTTAGTCAGCATTTGACTTGTTTCCAGTCTATGCCAAGCAATTGGGTGGCATTGTCCAGCAGTGGACTCGGGGGAGGGGGCAGAATGCTCACGCAGGGGAGGGAGTCATGTGTACGTAGATACACACACATAGACACACTCACAGGGAAGATAAGGCTGTTTAGACCCTCAATCTGCTTCCAGATTCCAGGTACGCTCCCCACCCCAGATCAAAGTCTCCTGAGTTGAGACTGTATGAAATGTCAAAATTAGGCTGAGTGTATCCCAGAGAGGAAAGATTGATTTGAAAGTCAGACTGGGTCTCCTTAGACACTGAATTTAGACAGTGTGCAAATATGTTTTCCTGAGTGGACTATTTCCAAATTAGGAAGCAGCCCGTTGGTGTTTAACAAACCATTAAGCCTGAAATGCCACGTTTAATTCTCAGATTTCATTTTACCCAGAAACCTTACTGCCCAGACTGTGACTAAATGCTCACTCTGTTCTCTGCCCTGGACGTCTGTTCATTTGGAGTCTATCTTTTGCCTTTTTTGTCCCCCTGACTTTTCAATTAATACATTTTTTAATAGATAAAACAGATCATACTGTGACTTTTAAAATGTCAACAAGCTTGTAAACAGAAATGTAATAAAATGGCTAATAGGAGATTCAATAGTTAATAGAGGGCCTGAAGTGTGAGCAAATACAGTAGCTGTATATTGGAAACTGTGCAAGTGAAGATGGCTTTAGTATTGCAAACTGAGGAAGAAAATTGTTTTTAATTAGCACCTTCATAAGAACTGCTGATTAATACTGTTTTGTTTGGTGAAAAGCTTTCAGCTGAGTAATTTGTACAGCCATTACAACAGTTTTGTTAGAGCGGGACTCCTGTTGTTAAACACAAACAGCAGATGATAATGGTGGAAGATGAGTTTGTCATGTAACAATTTACCTTATTGAAAAAAGCTTTATATTAAACCCAATACAGTCGGCACCAGCAGAAGTCACATATTTTACATCCTCCCAAAATTGCAGTGTGCCATGCTTATATTTTTTTTTCAGGGACTGGAAGCAGATTTTATATCATTTATAAAATTATATACACAATTTAGAGGTGGTGTAGCATGGACAGACCACTTTCTCAGCAGCAGCTTACATCGGAGCGGTAAAGTGGCCGTGTATTCAAACACTTTCTAACTATACAAAGCAGGTTGGAAAATGGAATCCTAATTAAATAATGTTAGATGTAAATTTGCATTGGGACTGGATGTAGGGAAATAAGAATTAGTGTTTCTGCCTTAGGTGAGTTTATCACACATAGGATCTTTAAAAACAAAAACCTCTTTCGCAAGGAAAGTTTAATTAACCTTTTCTCTTTTTTTTTTTGGAGGTGTTTTTAACCGACCAAGGAAAAGAGTACACATTCAGTGAGACCTGACCAGGGAATAAGAGGCTGATTTCAGTGAACTCCCATCAAATGGATATTGCCCTAGCCAGAGGCATGGGAACTTTTCTTTTTAAATAAAATGCAGTGGTAAAGCATATTTGCATTAAAATATTACACAGACCGAGGCTGGTAAGAACTGTAAATTATTGGAGTGGCGTAATAGAGCATGAGATTTTTTTTTTTTTTTTAGACAGGCCTTCGGGGTAATAACAAGGGTTGAGGCTCACGACAGTGCCAAATAAGCTTTAGACAGCATAATAGTCTGCAAAGAAAGCCACAGAGCACTAATGTGAAGGAAGAGCTGTCCACCACATGCAGCAAAAATCACCAAAGGTCATTTTATGGTAGCAATTGTGACATAAAATTGGTGGTCATGCTACATGCCTAATACTCAGCACAGCTTTATAAATGATGGGCCCCTAGCGATGGCTGTCAT